TGGAATATTGCTGAGTGCGGCGTAAAACTAAACTCACTCACTCACTCACCCATGCTGGACATAGACGGATCACAGTGAGCATATGCTGTACATAGACAGATCACAGTGAGCACATGTTGGACATAGACGGGTCAAAGTGAGCACATGTTGGACATAGACGGATCACAGTGAGCATATTTTGGACATAGACGGATCACAGTGAGCATATATTTGACACAGACCTATCACAGTGAGCATATGCTGTACATAGACAGATCACAGTGAGCACATGTTGGACATAGACGGGTCAAAGCGAGCACATGTTGGACATAGACGGATCACAGTGAGCATATTTTGGACATAGACGGATCACATTGAGCATATATTTGACACAGACCTATCACAGTGAGCATATGCTGTACATAGACAGATCACAGTGAGCATATGTTGGACATAGACAGATCACAGTGAACATATGTTGGACACAGACGGATCACAGTGAACATATGTTGGACACAGACCTATCACAGTGATCATATGTTGTACATAGACAGATCACAGTGAGCACATGTTGGACATAGACGGTTCACAGTGAACATATGTAGGACATAGACGGATCACAGTGAGCACATGTTGGACATAGACGGATCACAGTGAGCATATGTTGGACATAGACGGATCACAGTGAGCACATGTTGGACATAGACAGATCACAGTGAGCACATGTTGGACATAGACGGATCACAGTGAGCACATGTTGGACATAGACAGATCACAGTGAGCACATGTTGAACATAGACGGATCACAGTGAGCATATGTTGGACACGTAGAAGTATCGCACGAAGGTTGTGTTTGACGCATAGGAAGTCACAGTGAGTAACTGCATGTACATCAGACAGAGCACCTGGTACCTGCTTGACAAACAGACGGACCATAAAGCGAGATATCACACTAAGCAAATATTTGACAAATAGATGGGTGCTTGTCAGAACAGTGTTCATCATCCAAACTCCAGGCATCAAATTTCAGACAGTTTTGACTGCCGGATTTCGAAAATCCTTGGACAGGTTCACCATCCAACCAGAACCATTTGTCATTTTCATCAGTATCACGAGCACCAAGGTAAACGTCGATATTTTTCTTTCCTATTATATCTGGAACATAAAGTAAACTTGATATGAATACATCCCTGCTTGACGTATAAAGCATACCCTCCATTTTCAACGCATTTCTTGCAGTGACAGTGGACACTCCTGAAGACTAGACGGATGACAGTATCATTGGACGGACAAAAGCCACCCGAACAAAAGCCACCCGAACAAAAGCCACCCGGACAAAAACCACCCGGACAAATGCCACCCAAAAAAAACCACCAACACAATATCATGTTTCCCAGATGTATTTGCATGATAATTCATTTTCATTTACACACCAAAAAACATTCATTTTGCTTTCAATTTAAACATTAACAATAGACACTAGATATTTTTATATGCAACATTGGCACTAGTCGCACTATTTAGCACTAAATACGTTATAAAATAATGTATAAAAGATGTTGTATGTTTCCAACATGAGCACTATTTCATCGCAATATACTTCAATATATCATCCCAGTTCAGTGCAATACAATTTCACATTCAAAATATGATGTTATGAGCTGTGTTATAGATATATAAAGTCAACATTACCATGAAATCCATATTTTACTTCAAAATCAATATTTTATCAAAGTGAACATTTTTTTAAGGAAACCAAGTTATTCATCAAAGTAAACATAATTTTACAACAAAATCAACATTTTTATGAAAGTCAACCTTTTTAACAAAAACAAATTCTTCTTAAATTAAACCCTTTATAAAATTTCCATAAAAAATCATTAAAGTCAATAAGGGTGGTAATTGTCCTCTCCGCAATGTTAAAATAACTGGGTGGCTTTTGTCCTAGGTGGCATTTGCCCAAGGTGGCTTTTGTCCAGGTGGCTTTTATCCGAGTGGCATTTGTCCGAGTGGTTTTTGTCCGGGTGCCATTTGTGCTGCTCCCCATTTTGTGTCATAACATTTGAGGATTTTCGCAGTTTAATTTATTTGCAGGGTATAATTGTGAAATAGAAAACAATATGTCTTTAAAATGGGATGACGTTGTTTTGACCGGGTTGGTAGAAAATAGCGCTATTTGTCTGTAAGATATATGTGTGCACAATGTTACTGTGATAGCCAAATTAATAACTGTCGTATTTTGGGTTTTTAATAATTAGGGTGTTTTTAAACTTGAAAATGATCGAAGTACGAGAAAAAGCTAATTGATATATGAAGATGATAATAGAAGAAAGGAGAGGAATTCGAAATAATCAAATGAGGAAAAGTAAATGAAGTAATAATTGCAAAATGTTTATGCTGTCAATGTTAGGCTTAGTATACATTTGAACTGTGGGCAAGATACAACACAGGCCCATGTTTGAAGGTGACTAAACACGAAACAAACAACAAAGTGTTTCTAGTGTCGGGGAACATGTAATAACCGCTGTGTGATTCTGTAATTAAGCGTTACATAAAGAGTTGGGTATTTTCAGTTTGCCAAATCCGTCACAGATATAATATCGAGCAAGTTTGGAAGGTGGGGTGCGTTTGGGTTTTTTTATTTTGGAGTTTTATTAAATTCGATATGGTTGCTTTTTGGATCTCGGGGGTTGAACGGAAACGTTTAAAACATGTTGCTTATAAAACGGCAACAAACCATTTTCAGCTAAAAGTGTAGGTACCGTGTGCTACAGGTAGAGCGGGAAATGCTTACATTTTTGGCCAACACTTATGTCATCACATATTTTCAGGCATCCATTTGAGGGCATTTTTACACATTTTACGAATCAGTTCAACGGAGACTGGCTTGTGCCAGTTTTATACGTTCTATATTGAATTCAGTGGCTGAATTTAAATCAAGTTTATTGGTATTTCACCTGATCCAGCTCGGAAGATCGAAGTGATGCAGATCTCGGATTATTAAACCACGAGTAAGGTGAGTGCGTGATTTGCTTGGCTTTTACGCCGCTTTTAGCAATATCACGGTTTGGATCCGAGGAAACTGGCTTGATACATTGTACCCATGTGGGGACTCGAACCCGGGTCTTCGGCGTGTCGAGCCAACGCGTTTGCTATACATGTATGTCGATGTTTGGGGGTCAAACTTGCTCCTTCATCTTCTAGAACAGTATCGACTAAGCCAACATAGCAAAGACACTACCGGAGCCTGTGAGTGAATTTAGTTTTACGCCACTTTTAGCAATATTCCAGCAATATCACGGCGGGGGACACCAGAAATGGACTTCACGTAATGTGCCTACGTTGGGAATCGAACCCAAGTTTTTGGCGTGACGAGCGAACTCATCAGGGTCATGCTTGGTCCTTCATTAGGGGTAGGTTTGCTCCTTTATCAGGGTATGCTTGCTTCTTTGTAAGGGGTCTGCTTGCTTCTTAATCAGAGGTATGCTTGTCCTTTCATCAGGGGTATGCTTGCTCCTTCATCAGGGGTAGGTTTGCTCCTTTATCAGGGGTAGGCTTGCTCCTTTATCAGGGGTAGGCTTACTCCTTTATCAGGGTAAGCTTGCTCCTTTATCAGGTATGCTTCCTTCTTTGTCAGGGGTGTGCTCGCTCCTTCATCAGAGGTATGCTTGCTCTTTCATCAGGGGTATGCGTGCTCCTTCATCAGGGGTGTGCTTGCTCTTTCATCAGGGGTATGCTTGCTCCTTCATCAGGGGTGTGCTTGCTCTTTCATCGGGGTATGCTTGCTCCTTCATCAGGGGTGTGCTTGCTCCTTCATCAGAGGTGTGCTTGCTCCTTCGTCAGCGGTATGCTTGCTCTTTCATCAGGGGTGTGCTTGCTCATTCATCAGAGGTATGCTTGCTCCTTCATCAGAGGTGTGCTTGCTCCTTCATCAGAGGTATGCTTGCTCTTTCATCAGGGTGTGCTTGCTCCTTTATCAGGTATGCTTCCTTATTTGTCAGGGGTGTGCTTGCTCCTTCATCAGAGGTATGCTTGCTCTTTCATCAGGGGTGTGCTTGCTCCTTCATCAGGGGTAGGCTTGCTCCTTTATCAGGGGTAGGTTTGCTCCTTTATCAGGGGTAGGCTTGCTCTTTTATCAGGTATGCTTCTTTCTCTGTCAGGGGTGTGCTTGCTCCTTCATCAGGGATAGGCTTGCTCCTTTATCAGGGGTAGGCTTGCTCTTTTATCAGGTATGCTTCTTTCTTTGTCAGGGGTGTGCTTGCTCCTTCATCAGGGGTAGGCTTGCTCCTTTATCAGGGTATGCTTGCTCCTTTATCAGGTATGCTTCCTTCTTTGTCAGGGGTGTGCTTGCCCTTTCATCAGAGGTATGCTTACTGCTCATCAGAGATATGCTTGCTCCTTCATCAGGGGTAGGCTTACTCCTCATCAGGGGTAGGCTTACTCCTCATCAAGGATATGCTTACTCCTAATCAGGGATATGCTTGCTCCTCATCAGGGGCATGCTTGCTCCTCATCAGGGTATGCTTGCTTCTTCATCAGAGGTATGCTTGCTCCTTCATCGGGGGTAGGCTTGCTCCTCATCAGGGTACGCTTGCTTCTTCATCAGGGGTGTGCTTGCTCCTTCATTAGGGGTAGGCTTACTCCTCATCAGGGATATGCTTGCTCCTTGATCAGGGTATGCTTGCTTCTTCATCAGGGTAATGCTTGCTCCTTTATTAGGGTATGCTTGCTTCTTTGTCAGGGGTATGCCTGCTCCTTCATCAGAGGTATGCTTGCTCCTTCATCAGGTGAAGGATTAAGCATACACTGAGAAACGTCGTGTTATTCATACCAAAGAAGCTGGCATCCCTAAATCTGTGCTTTTCCTATAATCACTGATGTTCTTGTCATCACCACCTGTATTGTATCCTACCATTGTAATTGTATTTAATATCTGTTGTGTACAGAAGGTATATATGTCATTAATGGATGCCTAAATGGACTTGATATTTCGAGGTTGTGCATAAATATTTCAAACTTACCTCGAATGACATCCTCAAAGAATTTGTGCATGGCATCCGTCTTGTATATGACTAGGTCTGCACCTTTGCCCTCACAATGTTTCTGAGCGTCCTCCCATTTCCTCTCCTTAGATTCATACTTATAGCACATGTTATGGGCCTCCACCTTCGTGAACCCGCCGGGACACTCGACTGAAATACACAGCGTGGGAGTTTACAACACTCTAACAGTGTGAGTGCGTGTGTGCGTGAGTATGTGCGTGCGTGCGTTTGCAATACAGTGACATGTGCGGGCGCTCGGGCGCTCGGGCGCGTTTACAACAGTGACAGTGTGAGTGTGTGAGCGCGCGTTTACAACACTGTGTTTGTGTGTGCTATTTTACAAAACTGAGAAAGTGTGTGTGCGTGTGCGTTTACAACACTGTGACAGTGTGTGTGTATGTGTGTGCATGCGCGTTCACACCAATGTGACAGAGTGTGTGTATGTGTGTCCAACCGCGATTACAACACTGTGACAGTGTGTTTGCATGTGTGTGTACATGCGCGTTTACAACACTGTGACAGAGGGTGTGTATGTCTGTGAGCGTGCGTTTACAACACTGTGACAGAGTGTATGTATGTGTGTGCATGCGCGTTTACAACACTGTGACAGTGTGTGTGTGTGTGTGTGTGCGTGCGTGTGTGTGACAGAGCGTGTGTATGTGTGTGTGCATGTGCGTTTAAAAAACAGTGACAGTATGTGTATGTGTGTGTGCGTACGTTTACAACACTGTGACAGTGTGTGTGTGCATCTGTGTGTGCATGCGCATTCACAACAATTTGATAGAGTGTGTGTATGTGTGTGTCCATCCGCGTTTGCCACACTGTGAACGTGTGTATGTGTGTGCATGTGCGTTTACAACACTGTGACAGAGTGTGTGTATGTGTGTGTACATGTGCGTTTAAAAAACAGTGACAGTATGTGTATGTGTGTGTGCGTACGTTTACAACACTGTGACAGAGTGTATGTGTGTGTGTGCATGCGCGTTTACAACACTGTGACAGAGTGTGTATGTGTGAGTGCATGCGCGTTTAAAAAACAGTGACAGTATGTGTATGTGTGTGTGCGTACGTTTACAGCACTGTGACAGAGTGTGTGTGCATGTGTGTGTGCATGCGCATTCACAACAATTTGATAGAGTGTGTGTATGTGTATGTGTCCATCCGCGTTTGCCACACTGTGAACGTGTGTATGTGTGTGCATGTGCGTTTACAACACTGTGACAGAGTGTGTGTATGTGTGTGCATGTGCGTTTACAACACTGTGACAGAGTGTGTGTATGTGTGTACATGCGCGTTTACAACACTGTGTCAGAGTGTGTGTATGTATGTGTGCATGTGCATTTACCACACTGTGATAGGGCGTGTGTATGTGTGTGTGCGAACGTTTACAGCACTGTGACAGTGTGTGTGTATGTGTGTGTACATGCGCGTTCACAACAATGTGATAGAGTGTGTGTATGTGTGTGTCTATCCGCGTTTACAACACCGTGACAGTGTGTGTATGTGTGTTTGCATGCGCGTATAAACACAGTGAACGTGTGTATGTGTGTGCATGCGTGTTTACAACATTATGACAGAGTGTGTGTATGTTTGGGAGCGTGCGCTTACAACACTGTGACAGAGTGTATGTATGTGTGTGCATGCGCGTTTACAACACTGTCACAGAGTGTGTATGTGTGAGTGCATGCGCGTTTAAAAACCGTGACAGTATGTGTATGTGTGTGTGCGTACGTTTACAGCACTGTGACAGTGTGTGTGTGCATGTGTGTGTGCATGTGCATTCACAACAATTTGATAGTGTGTGTATGTGTGTGTGTCCATCCGCGTTTGCCACACTGTGACAGAGTGTGTGTATGTGTGTACATGCGCGTTTACAACACTGTGACAGTGTGTATATGTGTATACAACACTGTGACAGTTACATGCGCGTTAAACACTGTGACAGAGTGTGTATATGTGTGTATGCGCGTTTACAACACTGTGACAGAGTGTGTATATGTGTGTGCATGCGCGTTTACAACACTGTGACAGAGTGTGTATATGTGTGTGCATGCGCGTTTACAACACTGTGACAGAGTGTGTATATGTGTGTACATGCGCGTTTACAACACTGTGACAGAGTGTGTGTGTGTGCATGTGCGTTTACAACACTGTGACTGTGTGTATGTGTGTGTACATGCGCGTTTACAACACTGTGACTGTATGTATGTGTGTGTCCATTCGCGTTTACAACACTGTGACTGTGTGTATGTGTGTGTACATGTGCGTTTACAACACTGTGACAGAGGGTGTGTATGTGTGTGTGCATGTGCGTTTACAACACTGTGACAGAGTGTGTGTGTGTGTGCATGCATGACGCGTTGTGTATGTGTGTGCATGCGCGTTTACAACACTGTGACAGAGTGTGTGTATGTGTGTACATGTGCGTTTACAACACTATGACAGAGTGTGTGTATGTGTGTGCATGCGCGTTTACAACACTGTGTCAGAGTGTGTGTATGTGTGTGTACATGTGCGTTTACAACACTGTGACAGAGTGTGTGTATGTGTGTGCATGTACGTTTACAACACTGTGACAGAGTGTGTGTATGTAGGTGTGCATGTGCGTTCATAACAATGTGGTAGAGTGTGTGTATGTGTGTGTCTATCCGCGTTTACAACACTGTGATAGTGTGTGTATGTGTGTTTGCATGTGCGTATAAACACAGTGACAGTGTGTGTATGTGTGTGCATGCGCGTTTACAACACTATGACAGAGTATGTGTATGTGTGTGTGCGTGCATTTACAGCACTGTGACGAAATGTTTGTATGTGTGTGTGCATGCGCGTTTACACCACCCACAGAGTGTGTGCATCTGTGTGTGCGCGTGCGTTACAGCACTGTGACAGTGTGCGTGTATGTGTGTGTGAATGCGCGTTACAGCACTGTGATGGAGTGTGTGTATGTGTGTGTGCATGCGCGTTTACAGCACTGTGATAGTGTGTGTGTATGTGTGCATGCGCTTTAAAACACAATGACACAGTGTATGTATGTGTGTGTTCATGCGCGATTACAACACTATGCCATTGTGTGTGTATAAGTGTGTGCATGCGCGTTTATAACACAGTGACAGAGTTTGTATATGTGTGTGTCCATTCGCGTTTACAACACTGTGACAGTGTGTATGTGTGTCTGCATTCGCGTTTACAGCACTGTAACGGAGTGTGTGTATGTGTGTGTGCATGCGCGTTTACAAGCACTGTGACAGAGTGTGCGCATGTGTGTGTGCGCGTGCGTTACAACACTGTGGCAGTGTGTGTGTGTGTGTGCGCGCGTTTACAACACTGTGATAGAGTGTGTGTATGTGTGTTGGTGTACGTGTTAAACTCTGTGACAATGTGTGTTTGAAATACTAGTGTCGTTTCAACACTAATAGTGCAAGTGTGTGTTCTGTGATGGGGTGTGCTGTTTTAACACTGGGTCAGTGTTTGAATGCGTGTGTGGCAGTGTGTGTGTATGTGTGTGTGTTTTAAACATTGAGTCAGAGCGTATGCTTTTCAATGTGTGTCTGTTTGGCATACTGTGACATTGGCTGTGTGTGTCTTAACACTGTAACATAGGCTGTGTGTGTTTTAACACTGTGACATAGGCTGTGTGTTTTAACACTGTCATAGGCCATGTGTGTTTTAACACTGTGACATAGGCCATGTATGTTTTAACACTGTAACATAGTCTCTGTGTGTTTTAACACTGTAACATAGGATGTGTGTGTTTAACACTGTGACATAGGCTGTGTGTGTTTTAACACTGTCATAGGCCATGTGTGTTTGAACACTGTGACATCCAGGGTACTTGTGGAGATTTATCCAAACGTATTCCCTGGAGATTGTCAATGATGATGGCACAAATTATTATGCATGAATGGATTCCCGGGAACATTACTACCTTACCCGTTGCGTATACAAACACACACGTCCACTCACAAACACACGACACACACACACACACACGAACTCACACACACAAACCGAAACATGAGTCTCATTAACCTATTCAGACAATGACCTACTTTTCAGCCTATCCGAATTTTCTCGTGTGAAAGTGAAAAATAGACGTCACAAACAACTATGGTTACACTGAATTCCAATTCCTTGTTTCATGAGAAAATGGTATTTACAACTGAATTTTAATTTCAAACTTTAATAACATCGTATTTCTATATTTTATGGCGAGGTGTAGGCAGCATGACCTTAACTGAGACGTAACATACTGCAGCAGTTTGATGAGGTCGTAAAATGATTCACAATGCATCTGGCTCACTGGTTACACCTGTTATGTGTGTTCTGCGCTTATTCAGTGTAGTTCTGTAACGCACAATGTGATTGATATAATACCAAGTCCGTACCAGACCGCCAAACTTTTCTAGCGGCAGAACCTCGTTTTGAGATTTCCACGATTTCCAGGTTTCTGTTTGTCAGTGCTCGCTGTACGACAGAGCACGCTGCACGACATGTTTGCAAGGATTATAAGGAGCGTAGTGTTGCAATATACAAGTGCTTAGATGTACCGATTAATACTGATTAATAATAAGGTATCCAGTTAAATGAATTGGTCTAAAATATCTGGACTGGTTATTGTACTAAGTTGCGTAATAGGACGGAACCCAGTCAACAGGAAACGAGACTGTTGTGTAATCAATGTTTTGACTTGAAACACACGACGCACATATTCACAAACACACATACAGACACGACCAGACACATGAACCCAAGCACACAAACACACGACGCATACACGGACACACAGACACACAAACACCATGCACGCACGCACGTGCACACACACACACAAACGCACACCCCACCCAACCCCGCAAATAACGACCTCGACATACGTGGACATTCGTCAGTGTTGCAATCTGTCGTCTCCTGCTTGGTGCTCTGTCCGCTGCACTGGGCACCCCCATGTCTTGGGGTGGGGTTGGTACACGTGCGGGTGTACTCGACCGTCTGTGACCCCCCTCCACACGTCTTGGTACAGGCCTGGCGATCGTCCTCCACCCATGCAGACCACCCCCCGTCCACTGAAAAAATAAAACATACACAACGGTTTTGTATGGAATCCTAGAAAGGGCATTGTCGCAAAATTAACCAAGGTACGACAATGCGACAATACCACAACGCGACATTTGGCACATTGTCGCGCTTTGAATAATATATTTTATTCCACCAAAGGGCGACAATGCGACATAGCGACAGTTTTCAATGTCAAAATATGTCGTGTGTCGCATTGTCGTACTATCTAAGATGTGTAAAGAAAGCGTTAAAATGTTCGACAACGAGACGTATATATTTTCGACAAAACAGCAGATTAGAACTTGTCTTCAGCAACCATGCTTGTCGTAAGAGGCGACTAACGGGATCGGATGGTAAGAAACGCTGACTTGGCTAACACATGACATCGTATTCCTATTGCATAGATCGCTGGTCATGCTGTTGAATACTGGATTGTCTGGTCCGTCTGGTCCAGACTCGATTATTTACAGATCGCCGCCATATAGCTGGAATATTGCTAAGTGCGGCGCTATAAAAACAACAAAAACAATTACCTGGGCATGACCCATCGTTACAGGCACCTGTCTGGGTGTTGATTCCCACACTTGAGCATGTCGCTCCGCCGTTCGACGGGAGAGGGTTGTTGCAAGTCCTCTGTCTGTTAATGCTCTGTGTCCCGTCCCCACAGGTCACGGAGCAGATCCCCCTACTGATCTCTCGCCAGCTGCTCCACCCACCGTCAACTGGGAGTGAGTGAGTGAATTTCATGGTAAAGTTAATGTTTTCAACCAAAACTACCTTTCACAAGAGAAATTGCATTTCACATTATATTCGGGTCATTGCGTTACCATTGCTGGGATTATTTCAGATATATTCTGTTCTTGAAAAACCTATTTGTCATCAAGTGTATAGTACCAAACACATTCTCCACCCACCGTCAATTGGTAGTGAGTAAGTGAGTGAGTGAATTTCATGGTAAGTTACTGTTTTCAACCAAAACTACCTTTCACAAGAGAAATTGCATTTCACATTATATTCGGGTCATTGCGTTACCATTGCTGGGATTATTTCAGATATATTCTGTTCTTGAAAAACCTATTTGTCATCAAGTGTATAGTACCAAACACATTCTCCACCCACCGTCAATTGGTAGTGAGTAAGTGAGTGAGTGAATTTCATGGTAAGTTACTGTTTTCAACCAAAACTACCTTTCACAAGAGAAATTGCATTTCACATTATATTCGGGTCATTGCGTTACCATTGCTGGGATTATTTCAGATATATTCTGTTCTTGAAAACCTATTTGTCATCAAGTGTATAGTACCAAACACATTCTCCACCCACCGTCAATTGGTAGTGAGTAAGTGAGTGAGTGAATTTCATGGTAAGTTACTGTTTTCAACCAAAACTACCTTTCACAAGAGAAATTGCATTTCACATTATATTCGGGTCATTGCGTTACCATTGCTGGGATTATTTCAGATATATTCTGTTCTTGAAAAACCTATTTGTCATCAAGTGTATAGTACCAAACACATTCTCCACCCACCGTCAATTGGTAGTGAGTAAGTGAGTGAGTGAATTTCATGGTAAGTTACTGTTTTCAACCAAAACTACCTTTCACAAGAGAAATTGCATTTCACATTATATTCGGGTCATTGCGTTACCATTGCTGGGATTATTTCAGATATATTCTGTTCTTGAAAAACCTATTTGTCATCAAGTGTATAGTACCAAACACATTCTCCACCCACCGTCAATTGGTAGTGAGTAAGTGAGTGAGTGAATTTCATGGTAAGTTACTGTTTTCAACCAAAACTACCTTTCACAAGAGAAATTGCATTTCACATTATATTCGGGTCATTGCGTTACCATTGCTGGGATTATTTCAGATATATTCTGTTCTTGAAAACCCTATTTGTCATCAAGTGTATAGTACCAAACACATTCTCCACCCACCGTCAATTGGTAGTGAGTAAGTGTGAGTGAATTTCATGGTAAGTTACTGTTTTCAACCAAAACTACCTTTCACAAGAGAAATTGCATTTCACATTATATTCGGGTCATTGCGTTACCATTGCTGGGATTATTTCAGATATATTCTGTTCTTGAAAAACCTATTTGTCATCAAGTGTATAGTACCAAACACATTCTCCACCCACCGTCAATTGGTAGTGAGTAAGTGAGTGAGTGAATTTCATGGTAAGTTACTGTTTTCAACCAAAACTACCTTTCACAAGAGAAATTGCATTTCACATTATATTCGGGTCATTGCGTTACCATTGCTGGGATTATTTCAGATATATTCTGTTCTTGAAAAACCTATTTGTCATCAAGTGTATAGTACCACATTCTCCAACCGTTATAATGTTGGTAGTAACAACAATCCAAAGGCGAGAATTTATGGATGACAACTTCTATATTTGGGGAATAAGACGTTTCGGAGTATATTCTTACTCCTTCCGTTGTTGTTCCAGATATACATATATAGTTATCTGTTTCCTAGTCTTTCATTCACCCGATGAAGGCGTGCAACGTTGCATTAATTCTTTAGAACTTTTTAACTTATTATTGTTATCTAAATACGTATTCTTTTATTATTATTTTTAATAAATTGTATGGTAGCTTCTCTGTGGGCTGATAGCTTTATTACTGAAAGAAATGCATTTTGTTATTTATTAGAGAAGCATGGTGTGACATTGTGCCTTTAAGGTGTACGTTTAAACTACGCTCTAGCCACATCTGCATGGATATTTAGTGTCTTTAGGGACCAATGTTGTTCTTAAGAGACGACATGATGGATCGGTTGATAAGGCGACATGGTCAGTTGCATGCCATTATATCCTGATGTCATGGGTTAGAATAAGTCTTCTCCAGACCATGCTTGTCGTAAGAGGCGACTAACGGGATCGGGTGGTCAGGCTCGCTGACTTGGTTGACACATGTCATCGTATCCCAATTTAGTAGATTGATGCTAATGGTGTTGATCACTGGATTGTCTGGTCCAGACTCGATTATTTACAGACCGTCACCATATAGCTGGAATATTGCTGAGCGCGGCGTTAAACAACAAAAAAGACAAACGCATTAACTGATCACGATTCCATTATTCACAGGAACACAACAATGCCGTTAAAACACACAAAAAACAAATATTACCAGGACAGACTTGTTCGTTACATCTATTATTCTCCGTGGAGGTTCGAGACCCGGAACATGTATCGCCGCCGTTTGCTGGTGCGGGGTCGGTGCACGACCTCGTCGAAGTCACGGTCTCCTCCCTTCCCCCACATGTCGCCGTACACTGCGACGTGGAGTCGACCACCCAAGGACTCCAGTTGCCGTTTACTGGCACTGAAAGAGTGAAGTGTCAGTCATCGAGAGAGTGAGGTTAGTTTTATTTAAAGGTTACGAGAAGCAGCTATTTTAAAGGGTTTGAGAATAGACATGACACGTGTTTTGTTAGGACCTCCAGCCTTTAGATATGGCTCCATGGCTACCTTTAACAAAGTTCCAACAGCAGTCCCAGCTACCACACAAGGTTTTGGCAACGTTGTTGGAAGGTTGTAGAATGGTAACGTCATGACACAACGTTGTCACAACGTTAGTATTACGTCATTTTATAACGTTATGTCACAACGTTGTCACAACGTTAGTATTACGTCATTTTATAACACTATGGCACAACGTTAGTATTACGTCATTTTATAACGCTATGTCACAACGTAATAACAACGTTGCTAATTGACGTTGAGGAAATGTTATACTTTGGGCTCACAACGTTATGACAACGTTTGTTATAACTTGGTGTCATGACAGTTTTCTGTAAAACTTTTCACTTTGTGATTATTTTTACTATTCAGCCACAGTTTCAGAAAACACACGACCAAAAACAGCATCCAAACTGACGCATAAACATTGACGTGAATTTCTGCTTTGTTACTTATGTAGTGTTCAATACTGGGAAAACTATTCAACTATATACATTTGTATTTATATAGTAACGTTAAATAGAACGTTAGGACAACGTAAACTACGTTAGCATCAAATAACTTTAACCTTGTGGCGACGTAAAACTGACGTATCACAACGTCAGGCAAAACATTGTGACAACGTAAAAGGGAGTCCACAGAATAACGTCGTAACAACGAAAGCATAACTTTGCGACGACGTGAAATTGTTAGGGGGCTTCAGAGAGAGAGAGAGAGAGAGAGAGAGGGGGAGAGGGAGAAGTTTATTCAGTAGTATTTGGGCCATAAGGCCTATGATACAGTTGGGGGCGGTGGGGTAGCCTAGTGGTTAAAGCGTTGGCTCGTCACGCCGAAGACCCGGGTTCGATTCCCCACATGGGCACAATGTCTTAAGCCCATTTCTGGTGTCCCCCGCCGTGATATTGCTGGATTATTGCTAAAAGAGGCGTAAAACTAAACTCAGTCAGTCAGTCAGTATGATACAGTTGACAAATACAATTTAAATTACACGTGATCATAAACATTTGAATTTCATATTGATCTTATTTTGAATATCTCATTGAGATAGATAGCTGTTAGATGGTGTACATTACTATTTTGTGACATGAAAATTGCCTGAATGGTTAGTGGGCCTCTGTAGACTGATTGTAGCTTCTGTATATATAGAGTTCTGGCTTGATTATGGGCTGTTAGGGGTTTCAGTCACATCATGAAGAGTCAGTTTGATAGAAGAAAGCCGGAAACAGGGCCAGCAGTACTTGTAACTGATTTCTGTTACTAACACTACAATTTGATTCGTTGATGCAGACCACCTCCGTGGTAAAGTGGTTAGAGCGTCCGCCCGGAGAGCGGAAGGTCGCGGGTTCGATCCCCGGCCGCGTCATACCAAAAGACGTTAAAACATGGTACTTGTTGGTCCCTGCCTGGCGTTCGGCATTAATGGATACAACAATGACTGGTCGGCTCGGAGACAGAATAATGTGTCTGAGTGGGGTATTCATGCTTCACTCTGGCATGGTATCTCAGTGGGCTAGCACTATAAAACCAGCTTCAGTCTGGGCTAGTACAAGCAGCCGCACATACACATACGCATGCACGTCGTCATATGAGCGAAATATTCTCAAGCACGACGTTAAACCCAATTTCACCTCACCTCGTTGATGCAAATACGTAACGCTAAGACACGAAAATACTGTTTGTATCATCGCATTGTATAGTAACGATTTGCATCTCCTCTTTGCATCATTGTAGCCCCGCTTTCACGTCACGCCTTTGTATAATTTCCACCCCATCTTCATATCACCTCAACTCACATCACGTCTTTGTATCATTGTAAACCAATTCTTCACATCAAGTCGTTCTATTATTGCAACCCCCTACCTCACGTCACGTTTGATACCATTGCAACCCTTTCTTCTAGTCACGTCTTTGCATCACATCAAACCTTCCTCATAGCACATCTTTGTATCACTGCAAACCTTCCTTACATCACATCTTGTATCACTGCAAACCTTCCTCATATCACATCTTCGTATCACTGCAAACCTTCCTTACATCACATCTTTGTATCACATCAAACCTTCCTTACATCACATCTTTGTATCACATCAAACCTTCCTCATATCACAGCTTTGTATCACTGCAAACCTTCCTTACATCACATCTTTGTATTACATCAAACCTTCCTCATAGCACATCTTTGTATCACTGCAAACCTTCCTTACATCACATCTTTGTATCACTGCAAACCTTCCTCATATCACATCTTTGTATCACTGCAAACCTTCCTTACATCACATCTTTGTATCATATCAAACCTTCCTCATATCACATCTTTGTATCACTGCAAACCTTCCTTACATCACATCTTTGTATCACATCAAACCTTCCTCATATCACATCTTTGTATCACTGCAAACCTTCCTTACATCACATCTTTGTATCACATCAAACCTTCCTCATAGCACATCTTTCTATCACTGCAAACCTTCCTTACATCACATCTTTGTATCACATCAAACCTTCCTCATATCACATCTTTGTATCACTGCAAACCTTCCTTACATCACATCTTTGTATCACATCAAACCTTCCTCATATCACATCTTTGTATCACTGCAAACCTTCCTTACATCACATCTTTGTATCAAATCAAACCTTCCTATCACAAACCTCATCTTTGTATCACTGCAAACCTTCCTTACATCACATCTTTGTATCACATCAAACCTTCCTCATATCACATCTTTGTATCACTGCAAACCTTCCTTACATCACATCTTTGTATCACATCAAACCTTCCTCATAGCACATCTTTTTGTATCACTGCAAACCTTCCTTACATCATCTTTGTATCACATCAAACCTTCCTCATATCACATCTTTGTATCACTGCAAACCTTCCTTACATCACATCTTTGTATCATATCAAACCTTCCTCATATCACATCTTTGTATCACTGCAAACCTTCCTTACATCACATCTTTGTATCACATCAAACCTTCCTCATATCACATCTTTGTATCACTGCAAACCTTCCTTACATCACATCTTTGTATCACATCAAACCTTCCTCATAGCACATCTTTTTCTATCACTGCAAACCTTCCTTACATCACATCTTTGTATCACATCAAACCTTCCTCATATCACATCTTTGTATCACTGCAAACCTTCCTTACATCACATCTTTTGTATCACATCAAACCTTTCCTCATATCACATCTTTTGTATCACTGCAAACCTTCCTTACATCACATCTTTGTATCACTGCAAACCTTCCTCATATCACATCTTTGTATCACTGCAAACCTTCCTTACATCACATCTTTGTATCACTGCAAACCTTCCTCATATCACACCTTTGTATCATTGCAAACCTTCCTTACATCACATCTTTGTATCACATCAAACCTTCCTCATATCACATCTTTGTATCACTGCAAACCTTCCTCATATCACATCTTTGTATCACATCAAACCTTCCTCATATCACATCTTTGTATCACTGCAAACCTTCCTCATATCACATCTTTGTATCACTGCAAACCTTCCTTACATCACATCTTTGTATCACATCAAACCTTCCTTACATCACATCTTTGTATCACTGCAAACCTTCCTTATATCACATCTTTGTATCACATCAAACCTTCCGCATATCACATCTTTGTATCACTGCAAACCTTCCTTACATCACATCTTTGTATCACATCAAACCTTCCTCATAGCACATCTTCGTATCACTGCAAACCTTCCTTACATCACATCTTTGTATCACATCAAACCTTCCTCATATCACATCTTTGTATCACTGAAAACCTTCCTTACATCACATCTTTGTATCACATCAAACCTTCCTCATATCACATCTTTGTATCACTGCAAACCTTCCTTACATCACATCTTTGTATCACATCAAACCTTCCTCATATCACAGCTTTGTATTATTCCAACTTTCCTTACATCACATCTTTGTATCACATCAAACCTTCCTCATAGCACATCTTTGTATCACTGCAAACCTTCCTTACATCACATCTTTGTATCATTGCAACCCTTCCTTTGTATCGTTGCAACCACCTTTTCATGTCTTGCCTTTGTATCATTGCAACCCTTCCTCGCGTAACGTATTTGTTTCATTGTAACCCACTCTTCACGTCACGTATTGTATCACTGCAACCCACTCTCACGTCACACACTGTATCATTGCAAAACACTCTTCACGTCACGTACTGTATCATTGCAACCCACTCTTCACTTTACGTGTTTGTTTCATTGCAACCCACTCTTCACGTCGCGTATTTGTATCATTGCAACACCACATATTTGTAACGTATTTGTTTCATTGCAACCCACTCTTCACGTCACGTATTGTATCATTGCAACCCACTCTTCACGTAACGTATTGCACCATTGCAACCCACTCCTCACGTCACGTATTGTATCATTGCAAAACACTCTTCACGCCACGTATTGTGTCATTGCAACCCACTCTTCACGTCACTTATTTGTATCATTGCAACCCACTCTTCACGTCGCGTCTTTGTATCATTGCAACCCACTCTTCACGTCACGTATTGTATCATTGCAACACCTCTTGACGTCACATCTTTGTATCATTGCAACCCACTCTGCACGTCCCGCCTTTGTATCACTTTAACAGTTCCTTACATCACGTCTTTTGTATCATTGCAACCCTTCCTTGCTTTACATTTTGCATCACTGCAACCCCTTCTCGTCACGCTTTTGTATCACTGTAAATCCTTCTTTACATCACGTCTTGTAACCCCCTCCTTGCGTCGCGTCACGTCTTCAAATCAAGTCATCGGAAACCATTCCGTCATCCCTTCGTCGCTTTCTATTGCATCACCGTTTCATGACATCACATCCTCTTCATTTGATTGCATCACGGGCGGTGGAGTAGAATAGTGGTTAAAGCGTTCCATCGTCACGCCGAAGACCCGGTTTCGACTCCACACTCAGGTACAAAATGTGATGCCCATTTCTGGTGTTCCCCTCCGTGATATTGCTGGAATATTGCTAAAAACGGCCTAAAACCATTCTCACTCACTGTTTGCCTCACGGCTTTGCACCCTAACTTCGTTATCGTATTTCTAACGTAATACAATACTGGCGACATTCATCTGACAGCACTTAACTGACAGCATTCACCTGACGACATTCACATAACGACATTCACCTGACGTCATTCACCTGACGACATTCACCTGACATCATTCACCTGACGGCATTCACCTGACGGCATTCACCAGGCGTATTTCACCTGACATCATTCACCTGACGACATTCACCTGACAGCATTCACCGTATGTAATTCGCCTGACGGCAGTCACCTGACAACATTCACCTGACAGCATTCACCTGACAACATTCACCTGACGGCATTCACCTGACGACATTCACCTGACGACATTCACCTGACAGCATTCACCTGACAACATTCACCTGACGGCATTCACCTGACGACATTCACCTGACGACATTCACCTGACAGCATTCAACTGACAGCATTCACCTGACGGCATTCACCAGATGTCATTCACCTGACGACATTCACCTGACATTCCCCTGACGGCTTTCACCAGACGGCATTCACCTGACATCATTCACCTGACGGCATTTACCTGATATCATTCACCTGACATCATTCGCCTGACGACATTCACCTGACGGCATTCACCTGACAACATTCACCTGACACCATTCACCTGACGTCATTCACCTGACGGCATTCACCTGACACCATTCACCTGACGTCATTCGCATAACGACATTCACCTGACGGCATTCACCTGACGACATTCACCTGACACCATTCACCTGACGGCATTCACCTGACGGCATTCGCCTGACGACATTCACATGACGTCATTCACCTGACAGTATTCACCTGACGAAGGGGCAAGGGAAAGCCCAGAAACTCTGTGTATAGAATAAAGAAGAAGTTAACATACAATATATTCTGTCTCATAAAAGATTTACAGATTTCGTATTATGTTTTTGATAAAATGGGTTTATACTTACTTGTGCATGAGATGCGGTTGCAGAAATCCATGCTGGATTTGGCGGTGCCGTAAACAAGGTTAGAACAAACACTTCCCCCATAAGCAGGCGCTGGGTTGGTACAGGATCTTATGTATGTATTTGTGCGTAGTCCCGTAATTCCGCAGGTGACGGTACAGGCCCCTTGTGTGTTCACAGCCCACTCGGACCAGTCTCCGTCGACTACACAAAGAAATATGTTACAAATTACAAATATTTGTAAACTCCTCAGGGAGTGGAAAATGCACATTTAATGGGGTAGCCTTGTGGTTCAAGCGTTCGTTCGTCACGCCGAAGACCCGCGTTCGATTCCCAACATGGGTACTATGTGTGGAGCACAGTGATATTGCTCGAATATTGCTTAAAGAGGCGTAGAATAAAACTCACTCACTCTTGCTGAAGAATGCATTACTTTGCAATATACCAGAGGATTACATGTACTAGTATCTGAGGTGATGTGTGGTCCTGTGTTAAGAGCCCAGGCCACAAATCATTTGAAGCTAAGCGACGTTGGTCACAGTGAGACCTTGGATGGGTGACCGTAGCATCTTGATCCCTGAGAGTTTCCAGGACTTCAGTCCTGGCCACAAGAAGGCAAACGTGACACACGTGGTCTCACCCTAGGCAAGTGAGTTTGTTCATAAATTGCCTCTATTCACCCAGCAGTGGATGGGTACCCGGTGGGATAAGTGATGTGACTGTAAACTTTCTAGCCCCTCACAGGCAGCTCAGGTTATCCGGGTAATGATGTGTTAGCGCACTTGAGCACGCCTGCGTGGAAACAGCAGCTATATAACTAGCCAAATAGCCATTATTATCTGCCACCTGTCAAAATGAAAAAAGAACAAAACAAATATGTTGATGTGAAATGGTGATACTATACCTGGGCAGTTGTCAGGGTTACAGGCCATGTCTTCTGATTTGGAAGTGGCCCCGGGGCAGGTCGCCCCAGTACCGACGGGGGAGGGATTATTACATAACCTGGTGTAGTGTTGCTTGTGGGTTCCACCTCCACAGGAAACAGAGCAGGCGTCGGTGGTCGTCGCCGTCCACGTTCCCCATTGCCCGTCAACTGGACCAATAGAAGAGTCAATGAGTGGATCAGCGAGTTTGAATGTAGAGTGGATACTTCATGTGAGAGATCGTCTAGAGATCATCACTTTCATGAAATCGCTAAACTCGGGACTAAAACGGGTTGTTAATGACGCTGAGTGAATTTCATTCTGACGCATCAAGGCCACGTGTCCTTTACGGACTTCCAGTCTTTAAATGTGCCTCGATGACTATCTTTACCACTGCTTGTTGCTGATGCTGATGTGTGCAGCGGGTGAATTTCTAGCATCTGTTATATTTGGGATTACACTTTCTCAGCAAAGTACATCTCCTAGTGCATAACCTTCCTGCCCTTAATTGTATCTCGCTGACTATTATTAACACCTTTCACACCTTGGACACCTTTTACACCATGGACACCTTGGACACCTTGGACTCATAAGCTGCCGTGAGATGATTTGCCGACGGAAACAATTGAGCGTGACATGAGACTGTACTACGAAGACCTTGAGACGATGTTTATACACATATACGCAGCCACGCAAAGGGCGTCAATTCGTTTCTTCAATCTAACCAAGCAGATAAAACGAACGGTGAATGGCCATCAGATGCCGTTATGTGGAAACATTCCTGCTGATTCCAGCCCGATTATAACAAATTCTTTCATTGGCATTTTTGAAGTTGCGGAGTACAATCTTGACACACTTAATGGATTACTTGTTGTTACGTGACGTTTCGACTCAGAATCTGGTATCTTTGTCAAACAGGAATGTGACAGGAGAGGGACGTTGCACGCCGAAGACCAGGGTTCGATTCCCCACATCGGTACAGAGTGTGAAGCCCATTTCTGGTGTGGCATTGCTGGAATATTGCTTAAGGTGGCGTGAAACCAAACTGACGACATATACGGTCTTGTGACTGTCTTGTGGGCTTGCTTTGGAGATTTTACGTGCACTTGCCGACATTTTCATGTACTGTAATTGTATACAGCTACGAGTTGGTTGACGCATGTCATCGTGTCCCTATTGCGTAGATCGATGCTTATTTTGTTGTGCACTAGATTGTGTGGTCCAGACTTGATTATTTACAGACCGCCGCCATAGAGCTGGAATATTGCTGAGTGCGACGTAAAACTTAACTCACTCACACACCCTTAAGTGTGACTCGATAACGACCTTAAACGCGGCCATTATTAATTATTTCAGTGGATTCAAGCCGTGTCAACTGAATGTTGGAAAAATGTCCACCGCTTTGATAAAAGATAACACAGGACGACGTGATAATCCTGACAAACAACATAATCAGGGTGATTCTGGTGTTTGAACCTACGATAGTAGGGTTCTTGTACGCCAAGGGTACGCAACTCTTGACGTCATTAACCGTCGTAGACACACATGAGAAGAAGAGGGTGTCATAGGCTTGAATCAAGATGTAATCTTATTAGTAAGTGCCATTTGGCTCTGATAAAGGTGTTTCGCTTTGATCTTTGGACTTTAAGTGTACAGTTAAAATACATTTCTTTATAAAAAAAAGAGTTATTTGCATAATACCATGTTCGTAACTGCTATTTGGCTCCGATAAAGATGTTCAGCTTTGATCTTTGGACTTTAAGTGTACAGACAAAAAAAAATACGTTTTTTTAATCTAAAAATTGGTGTTTGCATAGAATACCATGTTCTTTTTTTAAAAGACAAAAACATAATGAGTTTGGAAATTCTCAAACCCACATACCCGGGCAGTTCTGATTATTACAGGCCAAGTCCTGTACATCTCTTGGGGAACCACTGCACAAAGCACCACCAACGCCTGGGGCAGGGTTGCTGCACGTTCTCGTCCGTGTCGACGTCATGGTGCCTCCGCCACACGTCACAGAGCAGTCGTCGTTGCTAGGGTTACCCCAGTTGCTCCAGTTTCCGTCAACTGAAACAGGGCATCATGAACAATATATGGAACCTGTGAAGATCCGGGTTAGAATTGGTCTTCACCAACTCAAGAGGCGACGAACGGCATCTGGTGGTCAGACTCGCTGACTTGGTTGACACATGTCATTGAATCCACATTGTGTATATAGATACGCATGACACATACACAAACGCGCACGCACATACACACACGCGCGTACGCACACTATAAAGCGTATTTTAGTATATTATGTTTTAGAATCCCCACCTGGGATAGTATGGTAGCCTTGTGGTTAAACCGTTAGCCCGGGTTCGATTCCCCACTTGAGTACAATGTTTGAAGCCCATATCTGGTGTCCACCGCCGTGATATTGCTACAACATTGCTAAAAGCGGCGTAAAACTAAACTCACTCCTTCACTAGAAGCTGCAATACCTGGACACACCCCATCGTTGCAGTTTTCCGGGTCGGTGTCTGTGTCCGAGCCTGGGCAAGTGTTCCCGCCATTAGCAGGCGCTGGGTTCGAACACGTTCTCTTCCGAGCTCTGTTCCGTGTCCCGGACCCACAGGTCACCGAACATGACGGTATAACGTCCGCCTGTTCCCATGGTGCCCACCCACCGTTAATTTGAGCTAAAAAATGAAAAACATGGATGGATGATGATGTGGGAATGATTTCAGCAATGTTGGTTGGTTGGTTGGTTTTTCACGCCGCACTCAGCAATATTCCAGCTGTATGGCGGCGGTCTGTAAATAATCGAGTCTGGACCAGACAATCCAGTGATCAACATCATGAACATCAATCTGCTCAATTGGGAAACGCTGACATGTGTCAGCCAAGTCAGGGAGCCTGACTACCCGATCCCGTTCATTGGGAAGATTGCTGAAGTGCGGCGGAAAACTAAACCAACTCACTCACTCACTCACTCTAACGAAATACAACACAGGAAACGATTCTTTATTAACATGTTATAGAACATACGAAACTACTGACCTGAACAATCATGTGTATTGCACGTTTTAGTTTCGTATTTGACCGTTGACCCCACGCAGTTGGAACCTCCATAGACAGGGGCGGGATCTGTGCAGCCTCGTTCTAAAATCTCCTCGCGGTCACCTCCACCGCAGCTGATGCTGCATGATCCGTGCGACGTCTCGACCCAGGCGGCCCAAACTCCGTTTACTATTTTATACAGAACATTTAAGCATTAAACTGCATGAAGAAACGAAACAAAAAGTTTCTTTGGGGTTTATTTATTTATTCATTTATCTATTTATCAATCATCCCCATCCCCAACAACGACAAACAGCCAAAATAACTAAAATAATAAATTAATAAATAAATAAATAAATAAATAAATAAATAAATAAATAAATAAATAAACGATCATTCAATCAATAAAAAAACGATCAATCAATAAATAAATAAATGATCGATCAATCAATCATTGTCTTACCTGGACAGCCCTGCTGATTGCACGGTACTTCCTCCGTCTTGTATTGGGAACCCGAACAGTAAGCGCCACCGTAGGACCGTCGTGGGTTGTTGCACCAGCGGTAGCTGTTCTGGCGCTTCGTCCCTCCCCCACACGTGGCAGAACATCGACCGGTCCACCTGACATACCACTGGCTCCAGCCTCCGTCCACTGTGTGTCGGGAGGGGTCGATTTCAGACAGGGAAAAGTGGAAGAAGAAAAACAATCAGGGCCTCCTCTCACAAAGCACTAAGGTGATCGAAATGTTAAAGAATGGGAGCTGAGTTTAACCTCAGTAAAGGTTGCTTCGTGAAAGGAACCCCAGATCTTAGAATTGGGTAATAAATTCAACTGACTTATCTCATGCTACTGGGTGATTCGATTTTACCATTATGTCCTTGCAAACGCCAACGGCGGATAGGGGTGCCGGGGTAGTCTACTGGTTAAAGCGTTCGCTCGTCACGCTGAAGAGCCGGGTTCGATTCCCACATGCGTACAATTTGTGAAGCCTATTTCTGGTGTCCCACGCCGTGATATTGCAAAAAGCGGTGCAAAACTAAACATCATACACTCACTCACTCAAGGAGGGAAGAAAAATCTTTGCCGGTTCTGTTTCGAGCTCGATAATAAGAAATATGCGTAATTCGGGTGAAGACAGTTTCAGACTTAGAGTCTTACCTGGGCAGGTGAAGCTATTGCAGTTGTACGTGTAGTCTGAAGTGGCACTTCCTGGACAAGTGGCTCCACCGTTGGCCGGTTCTGGATTGTCACAAGTTCTCTCCCTTGTCCGCGTGATTGTCCCATAACCACATGTTTTGGAGCAGGTGCTTGTTCGCCACACCCAACGACTCCAGGCGCCATTAACGGGATCAGCTGAAGGACAGCATACGAGGTGTTTCAACGAATGCATTGCGGTTTAACCGCAACGTGTTTGGGGCGTTAGGGTAGCAGAATGGTTAAGAGTTGGCTCGTCATGTCCAGTGAAAGGTTTGATTTTTTACATGGGTATAATATGTGAAGCTTATTCCTTATGTAACCCGCGGTGATATTGATGGACTATTGTTCAAAGCGGCGTCAAACCCAACTCACTCACTCATTCACTCGAAGACTTGCTGTTGTTGCGGAATCTAAGCCGAAGTTGTCTCTGAGAATCAACAGATTCTAATGCTGATATAAACGCTGCTTTGAATTACATTCACTCACTCACTCACTTGACCAGTGGAGATCTGGGTTAGAATTGGTCTTCATCACCCTTAAATTGTCGTAAGACACACCTAATCGGATCGGGTTGTTAGGCTCGCTGACTTGGTTGATACATGACATCGTATCCCAATTGCGCAGATCGATGCTCATGATGTCAATCACTGGAATGCGTGGACCCGATTCGATCATTTACATACCGCTGTCATATAGCTGGAATACTACTGAGTGCGGCGTAAACAACAAACAAACACACTAGCAAACACACTCAAACAAACAAACAAACACTGACTTACGTGAACATTCGTGGGTGTTGCATGCCTCTCTGACAGTCTCAGACTGGTCGCCTTCGCAAGATTCACCGCCGAAAGCGGGTTCCGGATCACTGCATGACCTTTCGGACACGACTTTCCTTTGACCTTCCCCACAAGACTTTGAACATCTACTGACCGATGTAACTGTCCAGTTTGTCCACCCACCGTCCACTGCAAGAAAACAATAAGGTCAGGAACAAAATACGTTAAAACACATATTGATCCGTAAGATTTAGGGCTGGCTATCGATTTAGATCACTAAGATTGATAATCGTTAGCTAAATATCGATCGATTATCACAAATATCAATCAACCCTACACCCTGACAAGTCTAAACCTGCAGCATACCAGCATATGAGTCCCTTATGTTAGATCTGCAATCAACCCTACACCCTGACAAGTCTAAACCTGCAGCATACCAGTCCCTTATGTTAGATCTGCAATCAACCCTACACCCTGACAAGTCTAAACCTGCAGCATACCAGCATATGAGTCCCTTATGTTAGATCTGCAATCAACCCTACACCCTGACAAGTCTAAACCTGCAGCATACCAGTCCCTTATGTTAGATCTGCAATCAACCCTACACCCTGACAAGTCTAAACCTGCAGCATATCAGTCCCTTATATTAGATTTTTAATCAACCTTACACCCTGACAAGTTTAAAGCTGCTTCATATCAGCCCCTTATGTTAGATCTTTAATCAACCTAGCACCCTGACAAGTCTACACCTGCAGCATACCAGTCCCTTATGTTAGATCTGCAATCAACCCTACACCCTGACAAGTCTAAACCTGCAGCATACCAGTCCCTTATGTTAGATCTGCAATTAACCCTACACCCTGACAAGTCTAAACCTGCAGCATACCAGTCCCTTATGTTAGATCTTTAATCAACCCTACACGCTGACAAGTTTAAAGCTGCTTCATATCAGCCCCTTATGTTAGATCTTTAATCAACCTAGCATCCAGACAAGTCTACACCTGCAGCATACCAGTTCCTTATGTTAGATCTGCAATCAACCCTACACCCTGACAAGTCTAAACCTGCAGCATACCAGTCCCTTATGTTAGATCTGCAATCAACCCTACACCCTGACAAGTCTAAACCTCCAGCATACCAGTCCCTTATGTTAGATCTGCAGTCAACCCTTCACCCTGACAAGTCTAAACCTGCAGCATACCAGTACCTTATGTTAGATCTGCAATCAACCTAGCACCCTGACAAGTCTAAACCTGCAGCATATGAGTCCCTTATGTTAGATCTGCAATCGACCCTACACCCTGACAAGTTTAAAGCTGCTTCATATCAGCCCCTTATGTAAGATCTTTAATCACCCCTACACCCTGACAAGTCTAAACCTGCAGCATATCAGTCCCTTATGATAGATCTTTAATGAACCCTACACGCTGACAAGTTATAATTTACAGCATACCAGTCCTTTATGTTAGATCTTTAATCAACCCTACAAGCTGAAAAGTTTAAATCTACAGCATACCAGCTCAGTATGTTAGATCTTTAATGAACCCTACACGCTGAGAAGTCTAAATCTACAGCATACCAGTCCCTTATGTTAGACCTTTAATCAATCCTACACCCTGACAAGTTATAATATACAGCATACCAGTCCCTTATGTTAGATCTTCTATCAACCCTACACCCTGACAAGTCTAAATTTACAGCCTACCAGCCCCATGTTAGATTTTTAATCAACCCTACACCCTGACATGTTTAAATCTACAGCATACCAGCCCTGTTTGTTAGATCTTTAATCAACCCTACACCATGACATGTTTAAATCTGCACCATACCAGTCCCATATGTTAGATCTTTAATCAACCCTACACCCTGACAAGTTTAAATCTACAGCATACCAGTCCCTTATGTTAGAACTTTAATCAATCCTACACGCTGACAAGTTCTAATTTACAGCATACCAGTCCCTTATCTTAGATCTTTAATCAACCCTACACCATGACATGTTTAAATCTACAGCATACCAGCCCCGTATGTTAGATCTTTAATCAACCCTACACTCTGACAAGTCTAAATCTACAGCATACCAGTCCCATATGTTAGATCTTTACTCAACCCTACACGCTGACAAGTCTAAATCTACAGCATACCAGTCCCATATGTTTGATCTTTAATCAACCCTACACCCTCACAAGTTTAAATTTACAGCATACCAGTCCCTTATGTTAGATCTTTAATCAACCCTACACCCTGACAAGTATAAAGCTACAGCATACCAGCCCCTGTATGTTAGATTTTTAATCAACCCTACACCCTGACAAGTCTCAATCTACAGCATACCAGTCCCTTATGTTAGATCTTTGATCAACCCTACACGATGACAAGTTTAAAGCTGCTTCATATCAGCCCCGTATGTTAGATCTTTAATCATCCCTACACCCTGACAAGTCTAAACCTGCAGCATATCAGTCCCTTATGTTAGATCTGCAATCAACCCTACACGATGACAAGTTTTAATTTACAGCATACCAGTCCCTTATGTTAGATCTTTAATCAACCCTACATGCTGAAAAGTTTAAATCTACAGCATACCAACCCCGTATGTTAAATCTTTAATCAACCCTACACCCTGACAAGTTTAAATCTACAGCATACCAGTCCCTTATGTTAGATCTTTAATCGACCCTACACGCTGAACAGTTTAAATCTACAGCATACCAGCTCCGTATATTAGATCTTTAATCAACCCTACACCCTGACAAGTTTAAATCTACAGCATACCAGTCCCATATGTTAGATCTTTAGTCAACCCTACACCCTGACAAATTTAAATCTACAGCATATCAGCCCCTTATGTTAGATCTTTAATCAACCCTACACGCTGACAAGTATAAAGCTGCAGCATACCAGCCCCGTATGTTAGATTTTTAATCAACCCTATACCCTGACAAGTCTCAATCTACAGCATACCAGTCCCTTATGTTAGATCTTTAATCAACCCTACACCCTGACAAGTTTAAAGCTGCTTCATATCAGCCCCGTATGTTAGATTTTTAATCAACCCTACACCCTGACAAGTTTAAATCTACAGCATACCAGTCCCTTATGTTAGATCTTTAATCGACCCTACACGCTGAACAGTTTAAATCTACAGCATACCAGCTCCGTATATTAGATCTTTAATCAACCCTACACCCTGACAAGTTTAAATCTACAGCATACCAGTCCCATATGTTAGATCTTTAGTCAACCCTACACCCTGACAAATTTAAATCTACAGCATATCAGCCCCTTATGTTAGATCTTTAATCAACCCTACACCCTGACAAGTTTAAATCTACAGCATACCAGTCCCTTATCTTAGATCATTAATCAACCCTACACCCTGACAAGTCTAAATCTACAGCATACTAGCCCCTTATGTTAGATCTTTAATCAACCCTACACCCTGACAAGTTTAAATCTACAGCATATCAGCCCCTTATGTTAGATCTTTAATCATCCCTACACCCTGACAAGTTTAAATCTACAGCATAACAGTCCCTTATCTTAGATCTTTAATCGACCCTACACCCTGACAAGTCTAAATCTACAGCATACCAGACCCTTATGTTAGATCTTTAATCAACCCTACACCCTGACAAGTTTAAATCTACAGCATACCAGTCCCTTATCTTGGATCTTTAATCAACCCTACACCCTGACAAGTCTCAATCTACAGCATACCAGTCCTTTATGCTATATCTTTAATCAACCCTACACCCTGACAAGTTTAAATCTACAGCATACCAGCCCCGTATGTTAGATCTTTAATCATCCCTACACCCTGACAAGTCTAAACCTGCAGCATATCAGTCCCTTATGTTAGATCTGCAATCAACCCTACACGATGACAAGTTTTAATTTACAGCATACCAGTCCCTTATGTTAGATCTTTAATCAACCCTACATGCTGAAAAGTTTAAATCTACAGCATACCAACCCCGTATGTTAAATCTTTAATCAACCCTACACCCTGACAAGTCTCAATCTACAGCATACCAGTCCCTTATGTTAGATCTTTAATCGACTCTTCACGCTGAAAAGTTTAAATCTACAGCATACCAGCTCCGTATGTTAGATCTTTAATCAACCCTACACCCTGACAAGTTTAAATCTACAGCATACCAGTCCCATATGTCAGATCTTTAATCAACCCTACACCCTGACAAATTTAAATCTACAGCATATCAGCCCCTTATGTTAGATCTTTAATCAACCCTACACCCTGAAAAGTTTAAATCTACAGCATACCAGTCCCTTATGTTAGATCTTTAATCAACCCTACACCCTGACAAGTTTAAATCTACAGCATACCAGTCCCTTATGTTAGATCTTTAATCAACCCTGCACGATGACAATTTTAAATCTACAGCATACCAGCCCTGTTTGTTAGATCTTTAATCAACCCTACACCCCGACATGTTTAAATCTGCACCATACCAGTCCCATATGTTAGATCTTTAATCAACCCTACACCCTGACAAGTTTAAATCTACAGCCTACCAGTCCCATATGTTAGATCTTTAATCAACCCTACACCCTGACAAGTTTAAATCTACAGCATACCAGTCCCATATGTTAGATCTGTAATCAACCCTACACCCTGACAAGTGTAAATCTACAGCATACCAGTCCCTTATGTTAGATCTGCAATCAACCCTACACGATGAAAAGTTTAAATCTACAGCATACCAGCCCTGTATGTTAGATCTTTAATCAACCCTACACCCTGACAAGTGTAAATCTACAGCATACCAGTCCCTTATGTTAGATCTGTAATCAACTCTACACCCTGACAAGTTTAAATCTACAGCATACCAGTCCCTTATGTTAGATCTTTAATCGACCCTTCACGCTGAAAAGTTTAAATCTACAGCATACCAGCCCTGTTTGCTAGATCTTTAATCAACCCTACACCCTGACATGTTTAAATCTGCTCCATACCAGTCCCATATGTTAGATCTTTAATCAACCCTACACGCTGAAAAGTTTAAATCTACAGCATACCAGCTCAGTATGTTAGATCTTTAATGAACCCTACACGCTGAGAAGTCTAAATCTACAGCATACCAGTCCCTTATGTTAGACCTTTAATCAATCCTACACCCTGACAAGTTATAATTTACAGCATACCAGTCCCTTATGTTAGATCT